GAGGCACCTGCGGATTTGGAGTTATTCCCTGTAGGTAAAATGAAAAGTCTCAAGGATCTCGGCCGTAGGTCCCTCAGTCTTCGCCTTCAGTAATGCTCCCTTGAAGATGTCTACGAATCGCTCTGCTAGGCCGTTCGACTGTGGATAGTATGGAGGTGACCTCATGTGAGTTGTGTCATTTTTGTTGCAAAAGTCTTCAGAAATCGTTGAAGTGAACTGAGTTCCGTTGGCAGTCACTAAAGTGTCCGGATATCCGAAGAGACTGAAAACCTGACAAAATGCAGTAAGGGTCACTGAGGCAGTAGTTGATGGTATCTGCAGTAGTTCTGGTCACTTGCTGTAGACGTCGACTAAGATAAGGAACTTGTTTCTATTAATAGGTAGAGCATAATCGGCATGGAGACTCGATCATGGTTTCCTAGGATCCGGCCAAAAATGGAGCCCTGCTTTCCTTGGCGACTTCGAAGCAAGTGCGCATCTGGAGCAAGAGCGAACAAACTCTTCGACTTGAGCATGCAGATGATGCCAGTAGTACATGTAGCTTTTGATTAATGCCCTCATATGGTTTATTCCCGGGTATCTAGTGTGGAACTGCTTTAGAACCCACGGGTGAAGTTCCTTAGGAACCACTACTCGTTCTGCAAAGAGTAGACAGCCGTCGACAATTGACATGGAATTGCGACGCTGATGATACTGCTTCAGTTCATCGTCTTCAATCTTCTGTGGCCAATTAGATCTGTGGAAGCGGATCACTTGCTGGAGCAGGGGATCATGTGAGGTCTATACCATTTTCCATTGAAGTTGGACATTCGGGCAAAACATTTACGCCTGGGGGTCAACGGGGTTGCTCCTCCGGGGTAATCAAGTTGAGTCTTCGCTATGCAGAATAGAACCACTCACTGGCATGGTAGGGGCCATGCCACCGATATGCGACTGAGGTCCTATTTGCTGAAGGCGCTTGGCCAATGAAACAGCCCCTACCATGCCAATGAGTGGTTCTATTCCGCATAGCGAAGACTCAACTTGATTGCCCCGGAGGAGCAACCCCATTGACCCCCAGGCGTAAATGTTTTGCCCGAATGTCCAACTTCAATGGAAAATGGTATAGACACGTATCTGAGAAGCTGTTACTGGGATGGCTTTAATTGCACCTGCGACAACACAACGAAGTTCCAGCTCGATCGAGGTGCTTGCCACTACAACGTCCTCTGACTCCTGTCAATCTTTGTTCATGAGGCGTGATAAAGTATCGGCCTGACCAATGTTTCCAGTCGATTGGTACTTGGTTTCGAAATCATATCTCAAAAGTATTGTGGCCCACTTCTGAAGGCGATTTGCGAGTAAACGGGAATGCCCTTGTTGAACCCAAAATAGCAAGTAAGAGCTTATGATCCGTGACCAGAGTAAAATGGTGGCCAGTAAGCATTTTGTGAGATTTCTTAATGACGTAGATGATCGCCAATGCTTCTTTTTCAATTTGGCTGCAACTGCGTTCTGCGGGGGTCAACGATCGGGCGGCATGAGCAAGTACCTGCTCAGTTCCTTCACGAAAGCGGTGAGTTACAGACCCGCCGACTCTGTAATCATACGAATCTGTATCAACATTGATATTCAAATTCGAATCGTAACGAGTCAACAGCAGGTCTGATGTGATAGCATGGCTTTGATCCTGTCAAGTTTGACCGCATTCCGTACTCCGACACCACTTGGAATCTGAGAAGTAATGCGTTCAGTGGACCCCGTACATCATGCTTTGCTGGCAAAAAATACACTGCAGTGACTCACTAATGCCATGAAGAATCGCAGCGTCGTCACATCATGTGGTGGAGGCATTTTCTGGTTGGCCTCAATATTAGCGGGGTCTGGTTTTCAACCGTGTTGATGAAGAATGAATCGCTAGTATTTCACCGAATCCATGTAGAAAACACACTTAGCATTCTCAGGCGAAAATCATATTTTTGGATTCTAATAAGCACGTTTGCAATCCGGTTCTTTAGATCCGCCGGATCAGTGTCCATGATAATAATATCGTCAAGACACGCTGCATCGGATGGAACGTCCTGTAACATGGTGCCAATGATCTGTTGACAAATGGCAGGTGCCGTTTTTACTCCAAATGGCAGGCGAGTGTCTCGAAAAAGACCGCGATGAGTATTGATAGTCAGCAGCTCTTGTGAATCTTCCGATAGTTCTACTTGAAGACATGCATCCGATAAGTCCAATTTGGCGAAACGTTTGCCACTATTTAGCTTTGCGAACAAATCATCTGGCAGAGGTAACGGGTATTGGTGAATTTCAAGAGCAGCATTCAAACCAGTGGAGAAGTTTGCACAAATTCGGACTTTCCCATTTGGTTTCTTGATCACCACAATAGAAGCAGCCCATGATGAGTAATTCCCAGGTTGAAGGATGCCTGCCTGTTGCAGTATCTCCAATTCCTGATGAACGCTTGGCAACGTCGCTTATGATACTAGACGTTTGGGTAGGAAAACAGGTTTTGCTTCGGGCGGAGGAACAATACTGCCTTGGTTTTCGTGCAGCAACCAAGCTCATCCCGGAATACTTGAGCGCATTTATGGCGCAAACGCTCTGACGGCGCATTCCTAAGAGGAGTGATCACAGATTGAACACACAACTGACTACATACAAAATTAATTGGAACGTTCAAGAGACTCAGTTTGCGATCCAATCAAGGTCCAAAAGGTCTAGATTTGACCGATTAGAAAGGAACATACGGCACAGAATTGCACATTATACAAAAACAGGACACAAATTCCCTGTGAGTATCAGGACTCCACCGGAAGCATTCAGCGCTGTACGATTTTTCGGGTTTAGAGGAGGTCGACTGATTATATTTCATGTGCTCTGCGACAACAAAGTAATATCAGATGTCGTATCGAACTGGAGACGCACAGGAGTGTTGTTGATATGCAGTCACATATATACGCCGGTGTTTTGCGTCCGTGTTGAACGTAGCCATAACAGGGTTTATTGTGTATAAAGATTTTCGTCCACATTTTTTGAACTGGCTGGACTGGCTGATCGGAAGTGTTCCATTGTTTGCGCAGCAATGATCCTCTTTGTGTCCTCGTTTGACATTTCTGACAGCGGTAACTTTTGAATGGGTACAGTAGGACATAATGCCAACCACCGCACTGCCAACAGGCTATTGGGGGTTGTTGAAGGTGCCGTTTCTAGAGGAATTAGTGGGCTTTGCTGGGGTGCCCTTTGTCACAGTATGCATTGTATTGGAGCCAGGTACTGATTCTCATCCAATCACGGCAGTATCGTGTTTCAGGTTTAACATACGGTTGCACTCGGTAATAACTAACCTCAGATTCATGGTCGGATTCAGCTCCATGTTACTGAATAAGTGGGTACGAATATCTGAGTTACGAGACGATTGAAGGCCACAAATAGATTTTTGCTAGCGACGGTAATAAAGTTGTGAATAACTCCCAAAATGCAGCTTTCAATGGAAGAGTTCGAGTTGATCCAGCAGCGGCAACAGAAACTATGTGACGGATCACAGGCGCGACTTATCGAAACGCGGTCGTAAAAAGTGAGTGTTTAATCATCCTCAACTGACAGAAAGTAGTCACCCGTTGATGCAATTTCAAAAAGTATCACGGAATTAAGCCATGATTTAGACGCCGGATACACTTTTGAATCTTGGTTCAGGAGATAGGAAGACGCATTTTGGACAGAGCTGACTGAGACGGATGATTACGGGAAAGCACGGTTGCTTCTGCGAGACCTTGGGGCCAACAAACACGAAAGCCTCGCGAATTTTCTTTTTCTTAAGAGTACGAAGGATTGTAAATTTGACAAAATGGTTGAACTGTTGAAAAAATCTTTGGGGAAGCGTCCTCCACTTTTAACGTGCAATATTTCTGTTTGAAACTTGTCCAAAGTGACGGTGATGACTTTGTGTCCTATGCGACCACGGTTAATCGTCAGTGTGAGCGTTTCAAGCTTAAGGAAGTGACGGAAGACCAATGCAAGTTTTTGGTGGCAGCTTTGTGACTAGATGGAGTGCACTGGTTATCCAATCCAAGAGAGCGAACGGTCATCACAAAATAAATTTCAGTAAATAGTGTTCTTGTAGATCAGCACAATTCACCACACTCGCGATGAACTAGTATATAGGACCAGAGCTCCATCCAGGATACGGATCAACTATGGTCCCCGCACCTAGAATCCGTGATTTTTTTCGCAAAAATAATGTTGTTAATAGATACAGTGGTGATAGCTAAAGAGAAATGGGCAAGAATTAAAAGTCAGATGGAATAACGGCGTACCAGAGATGAAGGAAGGGATGCGGAGTATTAATGGCTTCACGAGCGCGCCATGCCCAAGAAGGCCGACGAACCTGAAGAGAACAAGTACTACATTTAGCGAGTTTCTTCATGCTATTTAGTTATTTCATTGACCGAAAGCCTAGGGGTTTCACCTAAATAGTTACAGCGTTTGTAAATAATACACGCCGAGGTGGCCGGCTTGCGGACGTTCAGAGCACATAATCAGGTATCGAAGAGTCTAGCTGCCACATAACGTGTGAAGATCTACAGCATAACTCACTTGGTGTGCCCACCATATAGTAACGCTGGCACAAAACAGCAATAGAAACCCTGTGTTTAACCGCTAAGTTTGTATTCCACTGTCTTCATAAGTGATTGGAACTTGGAAAAGCCAGGCGAGCCTTCCGAATACGTGTGGCAATCCCTCCGAAGGTACAAACATAAGAGGGGGAATATCAAAGCGTAGCTACAAATGGGTGATAAAACGGCGAGTTTCGGTGCATTTTTCAACCTTTCATGCAACAGCACCTGCGATGCAGCAAGTCAACCAAGTGGTTCAAAAGGAAAAAAAGCCAAAACTAAGATAAGCATTGAGGAGTAGAAATCCAACGGACGATTGGGCAACGTTTTCACTTGGTGAGTAGTCAGAAATACTAACTGGGTATTGAGAAAAAGCAAATGAAAGAAAGAATCTCTTACCAGTTGATCCGCTTGTATACATGATGACAGCTAGATCCGACGGTTTCGGCCGTTCTTCCACTGGAGGCATCCATAAACCTTGGTATCCATGGTTGACGCTCGGTGCATGATTCCCGGCACCTTCGCAAGCCGCTGGGGTTTTGTGACTAGATCCTTCTCGATTTGCCAGTAGGATAGCTGCTCCGAGACGTTCTACCTCCACTATGTCATGCAGATGCAGGCCTTGGGGAGTCTTCGTTAATGCCTCCGCAACGCTAGCTGTGGCGCTACCTGTGGGCACGGCCAAATTATCGACGTCAGTGTATAGCTCCCGGTTAAATACCCCACTTGTAAAATAAACGACGCGTTGCACAGAACTGCATCGTGGGATTATTTTTATCACCTTCGATAGTAACTCATCGCTGGTGAACACTATATTAACCTATAATAAAAAATAAATTGCAGGTAGAAGCGATGTGAAACGACAAGTAATTCATACTGATATCGTATACAGGCGGAACCCCGCGGTATCCAAGGAACAAAGCATCAAATGAACGAGAATTGTGCCACAAGGGCACAAAATTAGAACAGACATGGGATAACCTGATTTTAAAAGAACTTGAACTGCACGAGACGCGACCACCAACTGCAGAAACGGCGGTAACTGTAAAACAACTGTGATTCCCTTCTCATGTGACAAATGAAGCTTCTTTCGGGACCACTTTTTCTTTCTTTGTGCGCCGTTTCCTCTTCCACACAGGCCCATTGCGTCAAACTATCAACAAATACACAACTGATGACAAAAGAAAGGCCCATTTCTTGTTCTTTGCGTATACCGATTGGCCCTGTTTGCTAGCATTCAATACTTCAGGAGAACGTACGTAGATGAAGCATTCTGGCGGGCCTTCAAATTCGGATGTTGCTGTTCTCGTTGAGGATTCTATGTTCTAATTGTAAGGTTGAAGCAATTTGCTTTTTCTGATCAAATTTCAAGGTCAGTTGTCCTACTCCGTCAACCATTTGAAAACGTTACGCGTTACTGTCTTAAATGCGTGCTGCATCGAATACGGGTTCATGAAGACAGGAACACCTTCAAACGAATTAGGAATAAATGTTGGGAAAAAGCGAAAGCATCGTGCTGGCTGGCAATCTGGCCTCAGAAGTTGTTCTGTCGACAAAGCGCAAATCCCGCTGTTAATTTCCAGTAATGTTCGCTCGCTTCTTGGTAAAATCAATGATCTTAGTGTCATTATGCAGCGAAATGACTATGTTAATACAGGAATCATTCTATTGCAAGAAAGTTGGTTGCATAACGATGTGAAAAATGGGGTTATTCAACTCGATGGTTATTTTCCCATAAGGTCTGACCGCCCCGGAAAGCCCCAGCTTCGTGATGGTGACGTTATAAGTTACGTAAATCAACATTGGTGCAACTCAGCAAGGGTAACATTCACAAACTCAACGATTTCGATAAGCTGCCATTTAGTTGAATGCAAACCGGAGTTCTTAACTGGCTTTCAATCGGTCATCGCTGGAAGGGTATAATGGTTCCTGACATATCGGCGTCAGAGTTCAAGTTTTTTGAGGATCAAGTTCCTTCAACGCTACTGCTTAAATTAGATTGTTCTAGTTGTATTTTTGCTTGCGACTTCGATCGAAAGGACACAAAATTGTTGAAGACAGTTGGCTTGGAAGACTTAGTGACTGTTTCGACCAGACAAGATGTACAGTTGGATGCTGTGTACACAAACGACAGTTGTTTTCCATATAAAAACGGGCTCCTTTGAGCAGCTCAGATCGTTATAAATTAAAACTGAGTCCAGTCATACACAGCAGGTCTAACATTTTAACGCTGATTAGACGTCCTTACAAGATTATCGAACAGCGAAATTGTTACTTGGAAAATATCACGAGGCTCCGAGGATGTATTCATTAACTGATTTTTTAGTCATCAACGACGAGGACCTGTAACTTCAATGTGACCATTTATGGACTACATCAAATATTACTTTGACTTGTGTTCTGTTGAAACGATCGATCTAAAGGCAGATAGATTCGCATCACCACTACTAAAGCGATTTCGAAGAATGAAAGAATGGACTTACAAGTGTAAGAATGCTACACATGTCAAAAGCCTAACCACAGCAATTAAATACGTTGAAGCAGTTCTAGGCAACCATAATTGTCGCGATGTATGGAGGATTGTGAGGCAGCTCTGTGGTAAGAGCGTTTGCAGCCAGAACGGTGAAGTGGATGTGGATAAACTGAATTCTGAGTTTAGTTCCGTCTCACTAAGCTCATCTTCCTTGCCGTCCTTCATTAGCTCAAGTCCAGCCGCACGCTTCGACCAAAGCAATATTCACAGGGAACACAAAAGAGTAAAGGCAAACAAAGCTTGTGGTCCGGGTGCTCTCACCAATAGTTTTGTAAAAGTATGCTGATTCTCTCACACTGCCTTTAACAGATCACTTTAACAAATGTCTCACCACGGGTGTGATCCCGGACATTTGGAGAACGGCCAGTATAAGTCCAGTACCAAAAATTGGATCGCAAAAGTACGGCCTAATTGCATGTACATCTGTGCTTCTAAAAGTTTTCGAAAGACTGGTAATTCCGAGGAATTGTTCAGCGGCTCCTGGGGACAATATCTACCAATATCTACCAGTGCCCCAAACAACCACAATCCACTTTAATGTCATTCGTGATCATGGTGGAAACTGTTAATCGTAGTCTATCCACACATCAGATGCTTCGACTGAACCCAAATGAGCCACTAACCGTTGTGACAAGTGTTGCCCGTCGCGACTCAGTGGTTTATAGGTAACGGTGTTAACCAGTAGTCTTTGCATCCCTGGTTAGCGTAACAATATGGCTATCACTCCAATTGATGACGGCAAGCAATAACGAAGCCAATCGTGAAACGCAGTTGCGAACAGGCAACCTCTCACATTTAGCCGTTTCAGCTACGGTCGTAGTGGTCGAACTGACCTATTCATTTTTACAAGTAAAGCACAGTCCAGATTGAGATTACGTGTCGAAACCTATTTACATAGAGTGCTTCAAACAAACTCATAACTAACTGGAAGTGATGTTTATCCAGTTTGCGAACCGTTGACCAAAAATTGTGTGACTTGTGGTTGGTAGCATCCAGCAACAGCTATGATCCCTCCTCAATAAAGATAACATGCAACGCTAATATAGCTGGGTAGATGGCCTGTAAATGAGATTTGGAACTAATGATTTTTGAGTGAAGATAGTAGTGGAGATCTCCACATCCACTTATGAAGAGCGTTAGATCGAGTTCATGTGATTTCTAACCATTGACCTGGTCGATGCACCAGGAGAATGCTACCTGTGGTGATAGATAGCAAGTCAGCAGAGCAGAAACTAGTTTCTCCACTATCAGTGTGCCGCTCCAGCGCACTGATAGCGGACCTGAGATTTTCAGTCTAACGGATCCATATCTGGGCGGATATCGATCTTCAACTCGCTTAACCTCCCTAGGCCAGATAGAACAAACCTCGGACTAGCCTCATCAAGAAAAGTGGCTCCCACGGACCCTTTTCATCGTCGCTTATCCTAAAACGCGTGAGTCGGTTCATCACCAACCCCTGTTACCCCACATCATCATCAGTATACACGTTAGCTAGAGGTGGGAAACACATCAGCTACTGTGGCGCAATAAATAGAAGAAAAAAGGAGAGAAAATGCAATTGGTGCAAGCAAGCTGAGCTACCGGTAACGGATAGGCATCGTTCCGGCAAGCTACCAGCCGCCTAGTAGGCAGTAAAAAAATGCAAAATTATCAAAGGCTAAGTAGAGAGATCGAGGTTGGAGGGGAAGGCTGGGGGATGGGGTGGGACAAAAAACTCACAGCATGAATGCCACTGAGGTCGGCTTCTAGCCATATCAGCAAGTGTATCCAGCCAAACGTGTTCATCGTTCTTCGGACCCCAACCAGGGAGCCGAGACGCTCCAACCGAGGCCAGCTCAGAAGTGAGAGCCTTCATTCCTCTCGACCAAGTCATCGCTTGGTCGCCCCTCCTCTTCTTCCATCCACACCCAAGTGCACAAATAACGCACGTCGCGGGAGTCGGCGGGCTGACATGCGTAACACGTCGCCGAGCCATCGGAGCCTGGTGCGTGAAATAACTGTGCTGAGCGGTTCAGTTCCTTTTCTTGTGCCGTAAACAAGGCGTCGAACACGCACGTTGCTCACTCGGTGTTCCCACCAGATGTGAGCTAAATTACGAAGGCACCGATGGTCGAACGTAACTAGCCTCTTTATGTCCGCTGGTCTAAGGGGGCAGGTTTCGCAACCGTACAGTAAAGTCGAACGTAAAGCTGTATTGTACACTCTACCGTTCAGGGCGAGAGTGATGTCGCTCCGGTGCTATAAGTGGCGAAGATTAGCAAAAGTGCCTCGAGCTTTTGCTATGCGATTAGAGATGTCATCTTCAATCCTACGGGCGCTGATACAGCTTCCCAGGTAGCTGAATTTTTGAACGACTTCTACCTGATCCCCACCAAGGGTCAGCGCAGGAGGCGGATCATGCCAATCTTGGAGGAACGCTTTGCACCTCGAGAGTGCGAAGCAAAACCCGAAGTAACGGACAGGCAGTGCTAATCAGTCCAATGCCGGTTGACACGTTTGTGAGCTGTCACAGATTAGGGCAATATCATCCGCATACTCTAAGTCAGGAATTCGTTCTCCTTATAAGTCGTGTCCTGTAAACGCGAGTTCCATGACTTCATCAATAACGAAGTGGAAGAGGAAAGGGGACAGCGGGCATCCTTGTCTCACACCGGTGGAGATATTAAAGGGCGATGACAACTTGCTGTAAACCCTCACCCTGCCCGAGCTACGCGCGTAAAGCGCTAGGATAATATTTACATATTTCTCAGGTACACTTTTCCTGAGTTGACAGTCCCAAAGTGCACATCTATCCACCGAATCGAATGCACCTTTGATATCGAGGAACAACAACGACGGGCCGCCAATATATGTGACAGTGCTCCAACAATTGACGCAAAGTGAAGATGTGGTCGATGCAGCCACCTCATCGACGAAATCCGGCCTGCTCTTTCACGAATATGGCTTTCACGAGTGCCAGTCAGTCTGTGAAGGATGACAGAGGCAAGCAATTTGGAGGCGATGGGGATCAAACTGATTCCTCTATGACTGCGGCATTCCGATCGTAAGCCTCCCTTGAAAATTGGGACTATACCGGAGGGGCTCCAGTCGGTAGGGATAGTTTCCTGCTTACATAGTTTCACTAGTAATTCGTGTAAATTATAAACATGAGCAGGTCCAGTGAATCTGAAGAGGGCTGTATGAAGATCATCTGGTCCCGCGGCTTTATTTAACCTCAACAGTCCGATCTCACGTTCGACTTCTGAGCGAGAGGGCGGATCCAAAGGGACAGCCCACGGAGCAGAGCGATCACTGGCTGGCGAGAAATCTAACAATTCCGACCGATTAAATTGCCTTTCAAAGTGCTAAGCCAAACGCTCCAAGCGTTTCGACAAGTTGTGGATAGGCTGACTACTCTCTTCATGTAAAGATTCACTAACACCAGTTTTCCTGCTGCCCTTTTCCCATATCAGCCGGAATAACTTACGATGGTTGCCAAGGGCAGCGGCCACTTTCATCTCTAACGCACGATGAGACCACAAGGATTCGCGGTCTCTCTTCAGGCTAGCACGAAGTTTTGCCCGGAGCTCTTTGCGAGTTTCATTGTGTTCGCTTCCAGCCGGAATATGCCGGCGAGCATCTAAAAGTTCCAGAGACTGCGAAGAGACCCAATGTCCATGTTAGCTATCAGACTTATCATATGAGGATTTGCCTGGTGTTAGTAAGGTTTGGTGAATATGAGACCAGTGAGTTCAATTGCATAGAGTGAGCGCTTATTCAACTCGCATGACGCCGAGAAGTGTATTAATCAGAATGCAAAACTCTTGATTTCCTTGCCGGCTTGCGAAGTTCATTGACTTTTTGGTTGCAAGTTACTGTGCCACTTTTTCCAGAAGTTTTGGACAACACAGTGTTGAGTTTCAAGCAGAAGCTTAAACTGCTCAATGAATAGAACCATGGAAGTCCAGAGGACAAGTTAAAAAAAGTAGCAGCATTTGCCCCATTTTCAACAATTTTGTGTGAAGAGCCACAGAGAATTTGCTTCGAAATTACTGACAGCGTAGTAAATAAGATGATAAAATGGGGAACCGATTTAACGATAAAGGAACAATTGGAAAACTACACTAAAATATATGTATCAGGTGAAGACATTTAGAAGCAGAAAAAAAGGAAGTTGGTAACTGAGAAATATTAAAATACTGCCGCGCACAGAGGAACACAAAGAGCAAACTGGTCTGGAAACGGAGCAAGAAAAGTCGGCTTGGATCATTCGGAGATAAAGAAGAGATTTGGTGATTACTGTGATTGACGATCAAATGAAACCTCAGAGGTATCAGCAGTACGCCGGTAAGGAGTACCGACGCAACGAACAACAGTTACGTCTGGGCTACCGATACTGCGAGGATCGCCCGGTCCCCTACTCGGGATGGAACCCGCGCCTTCCGATTGCAAGGCAAGCTTGTGATCCTTTAGGCCACGAGCCGGTAACGAACAAAGTAAATCAGAGACACTGTATGGCTGCAGTCGCTTAACGAGTGAGTCAATTGAGATCCATACTACTGAACTAAAGATTACGGCACAAACGTTTAATTTTAGCGATTTCCTGCGGGACTCCCCTTGTATGCGACCGGATCGATAGAAGACGCGCCGCCTTTCGAGGTAGGGAAGCCTTACCCTGGATCAGTTTATTTACCTTATTGAAACGAAGTCAGCACATCAACTTCAACATCTGTCGACGGAAACAATAACAGAGCTCCACGTAGTAGCCTGGATCAGAGAATGTTCGGCATAGCTATCCAAAAGATAGCAGACCTGTTATTAATTCTGTGGTTGTAGTTTTAATGATGGCAAGTGAACTGTCTGGTTTAAAGAAAAACCATGTTTCTTGTTGCTGCTGAACAGTGAGAGTCATTAAGGGACACAAGAACTGTTAATAAATAACATGCGATCATGAGGGAAAATGCGTTTGGTGGCAGCAAAATAACTGCAACTGCTCTTCTGCAGCATCGTCAGCGATGGTGGATCAACACAACTTTCACGTTCGGGGTCTGGAAACGTAGTGAAAGTTGAAGCAATACCTGGAACCGGCTGGCGATGGTGGAGATAGACATCAAGTAAGGATGGAGTATAAAGTCACTCAACAGACTCGAATGCTACTGAGGCAACGTTGCAAACAAGCTTTGCACTATTGGGAACAGCATCATCAGCCGACTGCTACTTCAGCTAAAATTTGCAAGCAGACCAGCAGTGGAAGACAATATGGAACCTATAGCACAACGTAAAAAGTGGGCGAGCCACACGGTGCGACAGTGGCTGATCGATCGGGCCAGGCTTCATATTTATGCACAAGATAACATGCACCCTAGCCAACAGTATCAGCTTTCTGACCGCTGTCCACACTACATTCAGATACGTGGAGGGCTACTCGAAGCTACTCAACGTAGATCAATAGACATTGGAGGTGAATAGTGAAAGCGACAAGGATCTTCTACCATAAGATACATGGCGGTGAACCTAAAGTACGCGGACTCCGTTAGGGATGCTAAGATGAACAAGAGACAGCCGATCTCTTCGTTGAAGTTTGCACGCTTCTCTATACAAGCACTCTGGGGACTGTGATCGAACAAGGTATACCAATGAAAAATGAACATCCGAAGAACCAGTTCTAACCAATGCCACAAAAAAATAGATCATGGCGAAAAGTAGGCGCGATCCAGTGGTCCCCAAGGTAGCTACCTGCAATCACTCACCTAGAGGTAAAGGTGTCAGCTTATACGCCGTAACGGCGCTTCGCTGCCGCGCGACCACCACCAGTCGCGCGCGGGCTGAGTATACCGCGAGGACGCCCACCCCTACGCGGAGTCGAACCGGTGACCTTATGGTTGGAAAGCAAACGTGCCAACCACTCGGCCACCGGCCGAGAGGTAAGCGGTACCAAGCCAAGATAGACGTGCTACAAACTACCTCGAAATGATAAGCCGAATTTTAATGTTATCAAAAGCGCTGTTGCATCGGCGTGGGTCGATGTGTTGAGAACGTCAATGGCAATGGAAGCGAAGTAAAGTGCAGATGAAAGCATTCGTGCGATTACTCCCTATGGAGGCAGATCGCCAGAAGTCGGTTCCAGGAATAGCCGTATTAAATCCCTTGTACCTTTTACAATAATCACTCTCATCCTACCTAGAACCTCTCGTTCTTTTTACCATATTAATCGATCGAACTTGCCCGAAAGTCTCACTTAGAACTGCTCTGGAAAATTTGAAATAACATCACTTTCATATCGTATTGTCGTTAAGATCATGTTGTACTAAATGATCGGTCCAAGTAGATGGATTGTAACACTCAAGACGAGAAATATACATACATACTTTAGAACCGGAAAAGCATATTCCGAGATTTTAATAGTTACAGTAAATTAGGACGGGTTGAATTAAGGCACTAGGTTCGCAGCAAAGAAAATGACTTAGTGTGTAACAAGGAGAATTACCTCAGCCTCATTGAATCCATGGATAAGAGCCTCATCACCCAAAGTGGCGTATAGAGTAACGACAGGAACGTTTAGTCGAAAGGCAGCTTGTGCGGCATAAACCCATTCAGCGCGTGTTTCACTGAAGATAGCGACTGGTCGACGGCCATTGGTCGCAGAGCCAAACATGGAATAAAGGCCAGCGGCGAGATGAGAAACTCGACGTTCGGCATCAATGAAAGTTTCCCAAGAGTACTCTCCTAGAGTAAGTTCAATCATCCGTCGGCCATCTGCAGAGGTCTGCGGTGGAGAGGTAAAATGTAACGAAGTAAGATGAAGCAGATGGGGAGTACGTTGCTCCCGGTGAGCCAGGTAGTAAAGAAGGATACAAAGATAACTTGGGAGAAGCGGCATTAAATGGCTATACAAAAAACGAGCTCATGAGATGACAATTAAGACGTCTTCAAATGAATGAGAATTGAAGCATCACAAACCAATGAAACCCAATAAAACATAATCAGAAAATCAGTAAAAGTGCAACAGAGGAGTATAACGAGAGCAAAAGAATCAGGACGAAAACGAACGCGATTAAGCGCGATCAGTCGTAAACCTTCCATAAAAGGTGAATAAACAACAGAAAAAGGAATCTAACAAGGGGCCTAATCGAGACAAGCAATTGGTTGGTAAGTAACAATGTCCGAGTAGCTCATCTCACTGCGTCAGTTGCGGTGCCTTGGACACGTATTAAGCATGCCCGTTCAGCGCCTTCTGCATCATGCGTTGTTCGCGGCTGCTGGATATGGCTAATTAAGACGGCATTGTGAACATTACGACTTGGAGAAGCGACATAAAAAGCTGACCAAACTTATGACCTTTGTCGGTTGTTCCAAACTCGCTGGTTGTGGTCCATGAGATACGGAGAGTCGCTGGATGGAGACCGTGGAAGTCACGGCTAAAGACCGAGGTCAGTAACAAGTATGGAGTAATGCCATTGTCCTCCATTAACAAAACACAAACAATTTAAAAATTGTGGATGGGAAAAAGGACAAACAGTAGCATGCTTTACTTCCAATTTTGATGTTTTCCTATTCTGCCACAATCCCAATGGCAATATATATATATATATATATATATATATATATATATATATGGCAGCACGAAACTGGATGAGACGCAGAGAGCACTTACTCAGCTGCGAAACGGCAAGTGTGCCGGAGCCGACGGGATCCCACCTGAAGTATTGAAACACGGCGGACCCGCGTTGTTGACTGCGCTGCACCACTTGGTGCAACGTGTATGGATTGAGGAGGAGGTGCCTCTTGAGCTGAAGGATGCCCTTGTGCTACCACTGTACAAGGGCAAAGGTAGCAAGCAATGTTGCACGAAATATCGTGGCATCAACTTGCTGAGTTGTGTGGGCAAGGTGATTGCCCGAATCCTGCTCAACCGCCTCGTCAGTCAGGTTGTGGAACCTAACGTGGCGGAAGAGCAGTGTGGATTCCGTTCGGGTCGTAGCACTAGAGATATGGTGTTTGCGGCTCGTCAGTTGCAAGAGAAGTGTAGAGAACGACATTGGCCATTGTAATCGCTGTTTGTTGATTTCACTAAGGCATTTGATACGGTGAACTGCGAGGCATTGTGGCTGGTGTTGGGTAAGTTTGGTTGCCCGCGTAAGTTTGTAACTTTAATTGAAGGTCTGCACAGTGGTGTGCGAGCGAGGGTGCAGCTGAGTGGAGAGACGTCGGATGACTTTGCAGTTGTCTCTGAAGTGAAGCAAGGCTGTGTCTTAGCTCCTGCCCTGTTTAATATATATCTTCATGCAATGTTGTCCTGTGCTTTTGATGCCGCTTGTGCTTACGGTGTTCGTGTGGAGCACCGTGTTGATGGTGGGTTGCTGAACATCCGTCGTTTCGGTGCGAGAACTCTAGTCTGTGAGACAACTATCCGTATGTTGCTGTTTTCTGACGACTGTGCGTTGTTTTCACACTGCGCGGATGAGTTGCAGCACATGACTAGTGCTCTGGCTTCGACAGCGGCCAAATTCTGGCTCACCATCAACACAAACAAAACTGTCTGTCTGTTTCAGCCTTCACCGGAGGTGCAATCTTCAATATTGCCGCGAATCAGCATTGGTGCTGAAGTATTGGAAACCACCTCCCGCTTCTGCTACCTTGGGAGTGTGATGTCGACAGAGCAGCAGCTACACGTTGAGTTGCGTAATCGCGTGTCGAAGGCAGCGGCGGCATTCGGGAAGCTTGAGTACCGAGTGTGGAACAACAATCAGCTTACCGTTGGCACGAAGCTGATGGTGTACAAATCCATGGTGCTGTCCGTTCTTCTATACGGCAGTGAAACGTGGACGATGTACCGTCGGGATGTGCGATACCTCGAGCGGTTCCATCAGCAGTGTCTGCGACGGATTTTGCACGTCGGCTAAGGCGACAGAGTTGCAGACACGGAAGTGTTGCGCCGAAGTGGGATGTATGCAGTGGACTGCATACTTTTATTGAGACACCTGAGGTGGCTAGGTCATGTGTGGCGTATGGATTCGACGCGAATACCGAAGCAGCTATTATATGGTCAGCTGAGTATTGGGAAGCGGCACGTGGGGAAACCAAAGTTACGATACCAGGACATGATTAAAGTGAGCCTCACACGTTCTAATCTTGATTGCAGATCATGGGAATCGAAGGCGGTTGATCGGCGTGCATGGCGCGATCTGATCACGAAGGCAGTTGTTGAGGTGCAGGGGAAAGCGCTCATGCATGCAGAGAAGAAGCGGCAAGCACCGATGGGTTGTTCTCCATCGACATCAAGCGCACGGTGCTGTAGAACATGCGGTCGCGAGTGCCTTAGTCAGGCAGGCTTAGTGAGCCATAAGCGAGGCCACTCGGGACCAGTACCGAAACAACGACGGGTCCTGCAGAGAACGTAGGCAGAACCGGCGCAGCGTTTGTAGGTACACTGCATTCGATTTACTAACCGCGTGCTTGCATGCTAAGTCTCTTTATTTCAGGTGGTGGGTTTTCAGTTTTGTCCTAATGCCTTTATTTCTCATATAAATATCTAGTGAGCCATGAGCGAGGCCACTCGGGACCACTACAGAAGCGATGACGGGTCCTGAAGAGAAGTATTCAAAACCGGTGCAGCGTTTGTAGATACGCTGTATTCTTTTTACTAACCGCGTGCTTGCATGCTAAGTCTCTTTATTTCAGGTGGTGGGTTTTCAATTTTGTCTAAATGCTTTTCTTTCTCATATAAATGCCTACCTGTACTCTATTCCAGTAACTAGCACACCTCGCTTAAGCCAATTGTATTCGATTTCCATAACATATTTGTGTTCGTGGCATTTCCGTAAAGTATACTTTCTGACCTCATGAACTTATCTAGGATTCGTTTGTAAACAACTGATTTCATATGCTCATTAACTTAAGGTTTATGTCACCGTTTCCTTATGCATTATTCGAGTTATTTTCTTTGACTCTCTCTCTCTCTCAAGTGATTGGCTGTTGTTTGATATCCCCGGTGTGACTGCGCTTGATGTGCATGTTGACAAGGTGCCTACCTGTCTATTAGCCGCTACCTCGTCCATACGGGCTCCAGGAGACAGGTGGTCGTTGCTGGAGGGGACGGGGTGCACGGTCCTTGTGGCCGTGTTAGGCTCGAAGAGTGGTTCCATGCACTCAGTGTGGAGCGGACTATGGTCCAGCCACAGCTTTGTGTGCGCTTGATTCCCCAAATACAGCGTGCGTGTGTTTGCCTGTGAAGGAGTGTGGGCCGGCTCCGTTGATAAAACGTGGTTTCCATCCACATATCTCCCGGTCTTATTCCTTCGGGTTTACACTGGATATGGGGTGTGTGGTTGGAGCTGTGGATGGTGCAGCGCAAGCCATCCATGGTCCCTATGTAGGCGCAAGCGTCCTGTGGCTGGCCACAGTGACAGGCAAATCCGAAACCGGATGCCGCCAACCATATATGGCAGCATGTGGTGCCTAATGTACTTGTCACTGTGACCTCCACGGGGATAGCTACAGGAGACCTGTGCCAACAGAGGGATCATGGATGGCTTGCGCAAAACCACCCACGACTCCATGCGCACACCCTATACCCGGTGTAAACTAGAAGGAATAAGACCGGGAGGGATGCGGATGGGAGCCACGTTTCATAAAGGGAGCCGGCCCACACTCCTACAACATGCACAGCAGCAGCATGTCCATTTGGGAAATCATGCGTACCACGGGTACACAAGGCGGTAGCTAGGCAGTATTCCGGTCCACACTGGATGGAACCACTCTTTGAGCCCAGCACGGAACGAGGACTGTGCACCCTGCCCCCCCCCCAACAACGACTCACAGGCTCCTGGAGACAGTACACAACAGGTTGGGGGGTAATAGACAGGTAGGCACCATGTCAACATGCACGTCAAGCGCAACCACACCAGGGATATCAAGCAAGAGCCAATACATGAAATGCAAGAAATGTAACACACATGCACACGTACAGACCAAGTGCAACGATGATGTAGCACACGCACCACATCAACAGCCTTATTAGCCTGGATAAGCAAATCGAATGGAAGCTAACCTATCGTATTTACGAACATTGTGCTGATACTGATAAGATAATCAACTGACTCATCGCCTTCTGGGTGCTGGCCCCGCGTGGCCACGCTGGTGGCTTACCTCGTGCGCACAAGCGACCAAGTATCTGCCGGGTTTACCGTTGGAGCTCCCTGAGTGACCAATTTTTGAACCCCCGGTCGTCCCAATTGGACACTATGTAGATGACTTTTGGTCACTCAGAATTTATTCCAACACATCCTTACAATATACCGGGAATGCATTTTTTCTGATTGCAAATACTGGCAACATTAAGCGGAAATCGATGCCCAAATTATAAATAAGCAATACTATAGCCGTTAACCTAAACTGAGAATGTTTTGGGTGGTCATGTCGTTCAGTGTCCAATTAGGAAGGCCAGGAGCACATAAATTGGTTACCTAAGGCGTCAAACGGCCATTCGCGCCGACTGATTACGAGTTTACTATAAAGTAAAGCCTTTTGGGCAAAGAAAATCGGTTCTAAACATGTACAATCTTAGTTAACAACATATATGGATGTCACGCCACCTATCTTCATATTTACTTTGCGCCTCTGCGTGTGACCAAAAAACATCCGAATGGGATAGCTGGCCGTCTAGCTGTGCGGACAGGGTTACCAGGTCCGCATCTATTTTTGTCCAAACGACTTCCAAAGTCACGAAGTTGGTCTTACTCCCCATATTTTGAATACTAAGTCGAG